CTCTCCACAGGGGGAGCCGTATGCCTGAACTTGCAAATCGCAAACGGCTGCGTTTAGGGTTTAGGGTTTAGGGTTTAGGGTTTAGGGTTTAGGGTTTAGGGTTTAGGGTTTAGGGTGCAGCATCTCATGTACTAGCTTTCACTCGTCAAGCAGCTTGTCAAGCTCTGGAAAACCCAGCGGGGCCCCTTGAGTTCGACCAGTCGGGCAGGTGTAAGCCCCCGAAAATCCGGAAAACCGTGGGGGGTCCCTTCTGCCATTGAAATCTGTGCAAAAAAATATAACATCTGGAGTCGGGGGGCAATTTTCACATCGAATCCTGGGGGTACCCCTCACAAGGGTGGGGGCGGGGAGGGGGTGAACGGGGGGCCTCATTTGCAGGGAGGCCGTGGGCGGCCGCGCGCGCGGGCCAGGAGAGGGCCAGACCCCTTGTTTGCCCAACGGGGCCTTCTGCAATTAGGGTTTAAATAGAAAGAAAAATGTGTATATATATATATATTTATTTATTTATATATTTTTTTAAATTTATTTTTTACTTATTTATATTTATTCATATATATATTTATTTATTTTATATCTATAGATATATATGTATATATAGAGATATGATAAGAGAGGTTTTGGATGTGGGGTTTAGGGCAACAAATGGTTCCAGGGTCGAGGCATGTCTGCCGCATCTGATGAGGCGTTGACCTAAACCCTAAACCTTAAACCCTAAACCCTAAACCCTAAACCCTAAACCCTAAACCCTAAACCCTAAACCCTAAACCCTTGGGGGTCCTGCTTCTGCCCCTTCTTCACCGTCATGGAGACATTGCTCCTCGGCTTCATACTTGGAGGTTCATGGGGCAGTTCTGCGTGGGGCTACAAGTAAGGCAGTTCTACTTAGAACCCTGACTTCGGGTACGTAGAACCTTCATTATATAACTACCCATTGCCCAGGAACCCCTAAACCCTAAACCCTAAACCCTAAACCCTAAACCCTAAACCCTAAACCGTAAGGCTCAACACTGAAACCCCCCCCCCGAAGCCGGAGCAACTCTGCCAGGGTGCCAAGAGAAGGTGGACGAGATCTTCACCGCAGTCTCGTTCTGGCAGCCACCAACGTTCAAGGCACTGCTCTTTTTACTATTATTACTATTCTTATTATTATTACTATTATTACTATTATTACTATTATTACTATTATTACTATTATTACTATTATTACTATTATTACTATTATTACTATTATTACTATTATTACTATTATTACTATTATTACTATTATTACTATTATTACTATTATTACTATTATTACTATTCTTACTATTCTTACTATTATTACTATTATTACTATTATTACTATTATTACTATTATTACTATTATTACTATTATGACTATTATTACTATTATTAATATTCATTACTATTATTGCTATGTACTTTATTACTATTTTGCTATTATACATTATTACATTATTACGATTAATTCACTATATTACTATTATTACAATTCTTACGATTTTACTACAAGTACATTGAAAACAAAAAATTACTATTATTACTACAAGTACTACTTATTACTAAATTACAAATTATTACTATATATGACTGTTAGTACTTTTATTCCTATTTATTAACGATTATTTTATTATGTTATTACTATTCTTACTATTTATTACTATTATACGATTATTACTGACTCTATTATTACTATTATGACTATTATTACTATTATTACTATTATTACTATTATCGACTATTAGTACTATTATTACTACTTATTACTGTTATCACTTGATCACTATTTATATATTACTATTATTACATTAATTTGTCTATTCTTACTATTCTTACTATTGTACTATCTTTACTATTATGTACTATTATTACTATTATTACTATAGCACTATTTTACTACTTTATACTATTATTACTATATTACTATATTACTATTAATTAACTCATTATTACTATTTATTGTTACTATTATCTATTATTACTATGATTACGTTATTACTATAATTACTATTATTACTATTCTTCGATTTATTACTATTTAGTACTATTATTACTATTGGTTCTGTTATTACGATTTGACTACTATGACTATTATTTTGCTATTATCATTACTATTATTCTATTCTTACTATTATTACTATTATTACCTATTATTACTATTCTTTACTATGATTACTATTATTACTATGATTACTATTATGACGAGTATACGATGTATTACTATTATTACTATTCTAGGTATTACTATTATTACTATTATTACTATTATTACTATTATTACTATTATTACTATTATTACTATTATTACTATTATTACTATTATTACTATTATTGTTACTAGTATTACTATTATTACTATTATTACTATTATTATTACTGTTACTATTCTTACTGCTACTATTATTACTACTAATACTATTTTACTACTATTACGATTAATTCTACTATTACAATTATTGCTACTAATACTATTATTAGTACTATTGCTATTATTACTACTATTACTATTATTGCTACTAATAGAATTATTACTACTATTACTATTCTTAAGGGGCCAAATTACGGGCACTGAAGTTGAGTCTTCGGAGGTGATGTTTTGAGGGGTTTTGATCAGCCGGTTAGCCACGGACCGGTGGTGGCCCGCAAAGCTGCTCAGTTTTCAGTCAAACAGACAGTCGCGCACTTGTCAGAAGTCTCCGAACTTTGCTGCATTAAGGCTTAGAGGAGTTTAGGGCCGTTTTAGGGGGGGGATACGGGAATGCAAGGGAAGATCGATCATCCCCCCAGAGGCTCATGTCCCGGGCCGCCTCCGCCATGTCTGCCACCTCCTTGTCTGCCAGACTCCGTCAATATCGGCGTCTCTGACTGATCTGCTCCAAATGGCTGCAGGGGGGGCCATGGAGAAGTGCCCTAGAGCCCGAGCTTGGGCTGTTCACCCTTGTACTAAGAGTCCCTAGTAGGGATGAGAATGGGGGACTGACGAATAATTTTGATTAAGCACTGCTAGAATAAGGGGGGACATCCCAACCCTGAACCCTAAACCTGTTGGGGCTTGTCAGGGCTGCTTTCTGCAGCCTGTAATCTGGCATGGTGGGGCGTTGCAGAAGCAAACCTCATAACTACCTTGGCCCTTGGGCGTGGAGTATCCTTGCAAGCTAGGCGAATGACATGTAGCAAGCCATCAACAGAAATGCCCAACCCTCGGCAGCCGCTCTAAACATGCATTATGGAATGGAGGCTGAGGCGAAGCTAGCCGAGCAAAATACCACTCACACCCATCCCACGGAACCTACGCCACTGAGAAATGGTCGGATTACGAGATTACGGGTACTTTATTGGGGTCCTTACTATAAGGGAGTCCTACTATTTGGGGGGTCTATATTTGGGGCCCTTATTTTCGTAAACTCCGGTCCCTGTTCACCCAGAAATCTTGCTCCAAGCCGGAAACCGAGGTCAGGCCCTGTTTCTCCGGCACGGAGTACCTGTCACATCAGAGCTACACCAGACGCTGCGGGTCAGCTGGAGGGGTCAGTTGACCTTCAACGCTTCCTTCGGGCACTCCAATTCTTGCAAGAGGCCTGGCTAGGATGGCCCTTCAAACCCCCTGAAAAATATTCTAGATATGGTCCTCTTAAACCCAATAAGGGAAAATATAAAATATCCCAAGGGCCTACCTAGCTGGTTTAGGGAACCGAGCTGCCCTGGGACCACAACCCGAGCCCATCGCAGTCTGCAGAAGCGCACCGCAGCAACTCGCAGGCGTCACCAGGGCCTCGAGTTTCTGCTGGGCTTCGATCCAGTGTTTCTTGGGGTTTTTGAGGGTTGCGAATTGGTGTGGGCAGATCGGAAGCAAGGCATTTCGGACCCTGCAGTACAGGTTTTGGGGCTAGCGTGCCTTGACCCTCCACCCTCCTCCATCTTATCTAGAACAACCCGCCCACATGTGGGGATACCTTTTTGGGGGGTCCTTATTGTAGGGGAATCCTACTACTTCAGGATCTAAATTGGGGGGTCCCCTATTTTCGGAAACCCCCTACACGGACCCTGGCAACACAGTACCTACTACCACCTACTACCTCCTACCCCCTACCACCCCCCCTACCCCCTGCTTAGAGGCTCTTTTGACTTAGAAAGGTACTTCTCCCCTTACCCCCTACCCCCCCCCGGGCCCCTGAGGCCATGGACTCAGCGTGTCGAGCCTTGGGATTCGCCATTTCTGGTGTCCGCTCCGCAACCCTAAACCCGAAACGAGGATGGGTACTTGGATACCAAGTTCAGAAAATTGAGTCGTGAGTCGCGACTCGCAAGAGTGGGCTTGCTGGGAGGGCCGAGAGGTGTTGGAAGATCATTTGGTATTGGTTTACACGCTGCCTTCTGGCCGGTTTGAAGGAACCCCACACGACTCCCTAAAGCTAAGCGTCCCTAAGGTTCCCTAGGTACCTGCCCCCCAAGAACCCCCTTCCCTTGAGAAACCTGTATCTCATCTTAAAGAGTCTCCGAAACTGCCGCCAAGTCTTTTGAGGCTCAGGCTCAGGCTCTGGTTCGTTTTTTCTGCTTGGGGTTAGGGGAGCTCATCCGAGTTCCTCCCATGGCCTTCTCAGCTATGCTCTCCACAGGTCTTAAGTTCGGAGGGCTACCACAAGGAGTTGGAGGGGGAGCGCAAAAACGTCAGCTTCCTGAAGGCTCTTTTCCGCGCGACGTACATGTACAGGTGCTTGGGTGGGCCGTCATCAGTCCCGTCGTATCTCCTGGGAGCCGGCAGGAAGAGCGTTTCAAGATGTTGCAGGTGCTAGCAACAGATTTGCAAACCATGCTCACAGCCCTACCGACCCGAAAGTAGAAAAAAAACAACACACACTGAACCCGAAATCTTCCGAAAAATCGTGAAGCCCAAAAGATCCCAAAAGGCCCTGAGCAAAGCCGAAGATCTCATTCTCGCACACCAGCACCTGCACTTCCCAGCAGCGGTCATCGTGAGCCGTACGCTCCTCGGCAAGGGATATGACTCGACCTTAAACCCCCCACAAGGGTTTTTACGTTTCGCAGACTTTCCACTGGGTGCTTCAGGGGCCCCACTGAGACCCACCCGCCCTGGTATGCAAGCCGACAAAATGCACCACCTTCCTCGTCTCCCTCTTGATGAAATTCTGGCAAACTAGGCCGTTAAGGACTTGGGGTTGTAAAGCTCAATGCAAGTGTCGATTGCTGGCTGCGCCTCCTCCGGTACATTGAGGCTGACGCAGAGGTACACCTGAGGCTCAAGCAGCAATGATTTACCAAGAGCATCTATGGGCATTTGGAATAGAGGAGTGACAAACTGCAGGTGTCTGGCACCAGCGACAGTCGGTCGACAGTAGCAGCCGAGAAGCCCCATCGCTTGACAGAATGCGGTGGATCTCAGATGACATCTGACTTGTCGCATCCTGCCCAGCGCACTTCAGGGCGTCTAACGTGCTCTTGTCAAAGACAACGTCGAAGGAGCCGTCAGAGAACACCGAGAGCTCCCGCGCATCCTCTTTTGCGGTTTAAGGCTTCGGGCTTAGGGTTTAGGGTTTGGGATTAAGGGTTTAGGGTTAAGGGTTTAGGGTTTAGGGTATAGGGTTTAGGGTTTAAGGATGCAGAGAAGACAGCCCTAGCGCAGCATCCACACCCTGCGAAGCTGCAGCAAAGGCTCAGCCACTTCGTACTTGATCCCAGGACGTCTTGAAGCGTTCAGCTGCTTCATCGCGTCAACGACCGCAGGCACGATGTCAACTCCAGTAATGTCCTCATACCCGTCGTCATAGGCTTCCGACATGAACTCCTAGATCGGTCCAGGTTTAGGGTTTGGGTTTGGGGTTTGGGGTTTAGGGTTTAGGGTTTAGGGTTTAGGGTTTAGGGTTTAGGGTTTAGGGTTTAGGGTTTAGGGTTTAGGGTTTAGGGTTTAGGGTTTAGGGTTTGCTTAGGGTTTAGGGTTTGGGGTTTAGGGTTTCGGGTATAGGGTGGCACTATGCCGGGTTCGGGCCACAGCATTGTAGAAATCCTGAATCTTGAAAGTGACATCCTTTGCAGAGATCTAATTACAAATGCCCGGGCGAGGAATCCACGACAGGACTCTGCTTCCTGATGATCCTCTGTCTCCTCGTTCGGGGCCTAGAGGCTGCTCAAATCTGTGTGCTCAGCGCTCCTCTTCCGGTCCTCCAGCGTAACCTAACCGCGGGAGCCCAACAAACCCGGTCAGTATCCCCAAAATAGGGCACAGACACTGAACACACCTTGGATTGCGTAGAGGCTTCTGTTTTTCATGAAGAATATCCCCCCTATCCCCCCTAACTGGCCCATGAACCTAAACCCTAAACCCTCGAGCCCCCGAAACACCTCTCCATCACCAAACCCGAAAACCCCTAACACCCTCCCCCCGCCCCCGCCAATCTCAGCCCAGGCATCGGAGTCTCCGCAGCCCAGGTCCAGAATACGACAGGCCTTGGAGGGGAAGAAGCGAAGCCAGCCTGTCGGTTTTAGGGTTTGGGGTTTGGGGCTTAGGGCTTAGGGCCCAAAGCCCCACCCCCCTTGCAATGCTTGCCAGTGCTTGCCCTATGTTCAGGGTAAAGAGACTTGGTAGCACCACCAACTGCTCTCGGCTCTTTTTCCGTCGCGCGTCGTTCTCCGAGGCGCAATCTCCAGCCGCACAGTTCAAAGATAATGCAACAATGCAACGGCACTGTTAAGGATTGTGCAAGGATGGCCGGTCGGTCGAGGAAGCTTTGCGGACGCTTCAACCACAGCGTGCCCAAGTAGCATGTTTCCGTGGCTCATCCGATTTCCTTTCGACCTCTTACGGCCTGGGTCTCCCTGTCTCAAAGGATGCATAGCATGCGTCAGGGAGGAGAATCGCAAACCATACGTTCAATGAGCCCAAAAGATCCACACGTCACTTGACCTGCCTAATGTTGAGCCAGCCAACGGTATGGTTTGCTCCTGCGAAAGCTCTACGAGTAGATGGCAGCCGCCAATCGGGCAATTGCCCTGGGCAGACACAACATGCAGTCAAGGCTGGCAATGTCGCGCCTAAGCCTGTATCCGGGAAGAGCAGCAGTTTCTTGTTCAGGTCAGGACTATACGACCCCGTCAGCATCACAGCTACTAGCACATCATGCTTGCAGGGATACTCGAACTCTAGTAGGTTCAGCTTTCGGCTGCTGTTCCCATTCTACTCACAAGCACTCAATCTACTACATAAAAATAAATGTCCTTTCCCACGTGCGGGAAGAAGCCTCCGCACTTCTGGGTGCACATCTTCGGACTTGGGGATGGAGGCACTTTCTCGGTGCACACCCTCGAACTCCATGACAAGGGCACGTTCTGCTCTCGGATGAAGCTGTGCCTCAGTGCTGCAGTCGTGGTGGCCCGAGCCGCGACATCCTTGGCCAAGAGATGGTCTACAAACTGGCGTGCTTGCTCTGAGACACGGCGCCATTTGGAGGTGCTCAGGTTCAACTTGCGCTTCAAAACGGCATTGCGGACCTGCACCTCCTCCTCAAGCTTGCGGAGTCCCAACGGCATGTCTCCGACGAGGAGTGTGTGCACAATCAGTCCCACCCCCCAAACGTCCGAGCAGGCGCCGCAGAGTCCGCACCAGGCTTCAGGGGAGAGCCAACGCAGTGTGCCCCCAGGAGCAACATCATGGAGGTCCCTTGCGCTGGACTCTTGGATCTTCTCGGGCAGCACCCAAGCCAAGCCCATGTCGAAGAGCTGTACGTTCCCTGGCTTGTCAATATGTCGGACTGCACGGACAAAGCCAAAGTTGTCCGGTTTCACGTCACGGTGCACCGCTCCAGCCACACGGTGTAAGTAGTGTACTGCCGATAGCATCTGCTGCGCCAAGCCTGCGCAGGTGCGCTCGGGAACTGCTGTCTTCAGGGCGTTCATCCAACCTTGCAGCGTTGGCCCCTCCAGAAGGTTCATGACAATGTACATGCTTTGCGGCATGTCCAAGACCCTCAGAAGATTTCGCGTCACGTGCTCTCGCGTGGCCGTCTCCTCACCCAGGGCCTGAAGGAACTCGAGCATGCGGCTCATGGGAACCTTCACCATGCTCTTGGAGAGCGACTCCAACTCTGTATCGCGGTTGGGGAGTTTAACCCTCTTCATTGCATAGGCCATGCCTGGGCTCAGTGGCTTGAAGCGGCTCAGTCCCTGTCCAGTGGGCTCCACCTTGCAGACGGTCCCAAATCCACCACGACCGAGGTGCCCTCCTTCTGTAAAGTAGTCTTCGATGCATCCACGATGGATGACGGCAACGCCATCATAGCGATCCTGGATGTCAATGTAACGCTTTCGAAGGGTCGCACTGGCCTCTCCCACTGTCCACGCAGGACCAGAGCAAAACCAGCTGGCAAATCCCCTCAACGCTGTCTGCGCCAGCAGGTAGCATTCCCTCTTCGAAGGGAGCTGCGGAACCACGCCGGTAAGAACCGGACCATCGCTGTAGTCAGGCAGCATGAGAATGCGCGGCACAGGGAAACTAGATGAAACTATAGACTCCGCTTGGGGCCAAAAGCTGACTTGTGGGTTGCCGTTGGTTTGGAGTTCCGGGCACAACCGATTTGTAGTACCGTTGCCGGTCGTTCGCGGATCGGATCGGGACTTGGCTTCGCTCCGCGCCTTGCGCGGCAAAGTGCGGGTAGGAGACCAGCCACTCCTGAGTTCGGATCTCGGGATTTGAGGGCTTTCGGGGCTTGGTTAGGCAAAGAGGGCGGAAGGGGGGCTCCTACGGTGCCAACGCTGCAGAGGCCCGGCGTTTTTTACACTCTCAAGCCTTCCTCTGCGTTCGGTGGATTGTGTCGGGAAGTTCAACCATGCCGTGGCTGGGGGCATTAGGCGGGGCGCGCGGACCCGAACCCCGAAACCGAGGAAAGGTGCAGCCCGCACCTAAACCCTAAGCCCTAAGCCCTGAACCCTGAACCCTAAACCCTAAACCCTAAACCCTAAACCCTAAACCCTAAACCCTAAACCCTAAACCCTAAACCCTAAACCCTGAACCCTAAACTGACCCAGATACCTGGATGACCCGAGGAGCCAAGGCTCGGGCCTCCTACACCCCCCGAAGACACGAAAGGCTTAGGGTTTTAGGGTTTAGGGTTTTAGGGTTTTAGGGCTTTAGGGTTTTAGGGTTTTAAATAGTTTTAGGGTTTAGGGTTTTGGGGTTTAAGGTTTTAGGGTTTTGGGGTTGAGAACTCTGACTCCAGAACCTGAAAAAGCTTTTGAGGAGTCCTTCGGGGCCATCTCGCGGCCCCTCTGCTGGGTGTAGACCTGCCGAAGTTTGCGCTTGGAACCTTGGGGTTTAGGGTTTAGGGTTTTAGGGTTCAGGGTTTCCTTAAGCCTTGTTTTGTAAGGATCCGAAGTGGGCCCTTATAGTACGCATAGAGTATGTACTGGTTATATAACAAGGGCCTCAAATTCAGGGCCCGTACTTGGAACCCTCGACAAAGGGACCTATGAACCCTGCTTGGGGAGTTTCGGGGGGTGTCACACGTCAACCCGTCTCCCCAAGCGCGAGCACAAAGGGCTCAAGCGCACCAATTGCAGGCCTGTGGAGGGAAGCATGGCCTTATGTTTGTTAATACATGCTACTGTCGTTACTAAAAACGTTTCAATAATTCATCAGTTTTGACATTTAAAGAACCGCAAAGCTTGGGGAGCACCGAACCCAAGCCATAAAACTCCAGAGGGCTCGAGGATTTGGAGCCCTCAGCAGCACACATCCTATACCCTAAAGACTAAAGACCATAAGAATCTTGAGGGTGTTCGGCCCCCCACCCCCCCCCCGTGTGCAGCTTAAATAGGGTTTATTTGGAAGCTGGCACTCGTGTTCACAAGAGGAAAAAAGGCCCCAAAACGTATACTTATTTACAAGAGCCAACTTCCAAATAGACCCTATTTTAGGTCCTAGGGGGGTCCCAGGCCTGAATTAAATATGAAGGCCCCGATTTAAATATGAATATTTAATTCTGGAGCTTCATATTTAAATTATTTAATTCGGGCCCGGGAATTAAATAATTTAAATAATTTAAATAATTTAAATAATTTAAATCCTGGAGGGGGGGGGGGCCGGGCCTCCTCCCGCAGGAGGAATTAAATAATTTAAATATGAAGGCCCCGAATTAAATATTAATATTTAATTCGGGGCCTTCATATTTACATTATTTAATTCCTCCTGCGGGAGGAGGCCCGGCCCCCCCCCTCCAAGATTTAAAATATTTAAAATCATTTAAATTATTGAAATTATTTAAATTATTTAATTCCCGGGCCCGATTTAAATAATTTAAATATGAAGCTCCCGAATTAAATATTCATATTTAAATCGTGGCCTTCTTATTTAAATTATTTAAATCGGGCCCGGGAATTAAATAAATTAAATAAATTAAATAAATTAAATCATTTAAATAATTTAAATAATTTAAATATTTTAAATCCTGGAGGGGGGGGGGCCGGGCCTCCTCCCGCAGGAGGAATTAAATAATTTAAATATGAAGGCCCCGAATTAAATATTAATATTTAATTCGGGGCCTTCATATTTACATTATTTAATTCCTCCTGCGGGAGGAAGCCCGGCCCCCCCCCCTCCAGGATTTAAATTATTTAAATTATTTAAATTATTTAATTCCCGGGCCCGATTTAAATAATTTAAATATGAAGCTCCCGAATTAAATATTCATATTTAAATCGTGGCCTTCATATTTAAATTATTTAAATCGGGCCCGGGAATTAAATAATTTAAATAATTTAAATAAATAATTTAAATAATTTAAATCCTGG